CGAGATATCAAGACTAGCAATATTCTTCTCGACAATAAACTCAGAGCCAAGGTACTCATCACTTGAGTTCTTTCATTCTTAAGTCCCATTTTGTATAATATATGGAAAAAGATTCTGTTTTTCGTAGCACACATACCAAGATATGAAACATCTATCATACCCCTGTCATTATTATTCAACAGTAACTTCTATTATTTTTCTTTTCATTCTTTTCCATTTTTCGTTTCATTCCATTGTGTGAGCCAAAGAAACTCTTAGTTCTATCTGAAATATCCCTTTCTGAATTATACTTAATTTTACGTACATTGTGTCGATACATGTGTACAAGGCATGGTAGTCTGATCTAACCGCATACTTGGTATTTATATGACATCGCATATCAAGTTGTCTCTTCAAATCTACTATTGCTTCTTCTGAAAAGTAATGAAACTAGGTAAGGTTGTCAGAAGTAACTCCCGTTCGGAGAATCATCAATTATTTCATTTGTTTTTAAAACTAAGTTGTGAAACTAACATTGAATCAATTATGTGTACTTCATAGTTCACTTCATTAATTTTGATACATAGATTGCAGATTTTGGACTAGTAAAGCTGGTAGAACGAACAAACGATGATGATTTTATAGCAACAAGGCTTGTTGGAACACCAGGCTACCTTCCCCCGGAGTAAGTTTTACGTCAGCATCATGTATAATAAATTATAATTAGGCTTTGTTGATTTTTCTTCTGATATTCATGATTATATATATTTTCAGATCTGTGAAGGAGCTTCAGCTGACCTCAAAAACCGACGTTTTTGCATTTGGAGTAGTTCTAGCAGAGCTAGTAACAGGGAAACCTGCTCTATTTCGTGACAGCCAAGAAACCTGCAGAATGAGATCGCTCATTTCTGTCGTAAGTCAGACTCCACTTTTGGCACTGGAGTCTATATTTAGTCTAATCCAACAGCGGTACCCCTTGCATACTTCATTTGTGTTCATACCTATTACATGATATATGGGTGAAATTACATTCATTCCACACAAACTTAACTTTGAAAGTGTAACTTAATATTCTGGTGCGTCCATTTTATTATTGACTTCAGATGGAAAGCTAAACTTTCCTCTTCTCTTCTCTTTTTGTTTTTCTGTTCTTTAACATTCAGATCAATAAAGTATTTGAAGCTAATGACCCAGAGAGTGCTTTAGAGGATATCATAGACAAAAACCTTCGAGATACCTATCCTGTGGAGGATGTCTTCAAGGTTAGATTCAATCTTGGTTCATGCATACACATATATAATGCTCACTTTCAGTCTTATATCTGTGGGCCTCTTCAGTTCTGTTTGGAAAAATAGCTAACAATCAATGATGCAGAAAATGAAAGTGGAGACTTCTAAGATTTTGTTCTAGTCTCTTTCATATTGTAATTCTGGAGATTCAATTCCCCTTTTTACTGCCTTTCTTATTTCAACGATATTATAGATATATTATTATGCATGCACCGGTGAGAATATATCTTCTGAAGGCGAAGTTAATGAAGTTAGATGCAAGGTATTAGTATTTTACATAAAGTACCAGTACTTTGCATTCAACTTCAGCCTCACAAATTCTCAACTTCAAAGGATCTTAGACATGAAAGAATTTGAACTTAGCGTATGGTTGCCTCTAACGCGAAAGTGAATGTTGCAGATGATAGAAGTAGCTGAAAGATGCTTGCGTGAGGAACCAACAGAGAGGCCAGAAATGAGGGAGATTGTGTTGATTTTGTCACAGATTTTGATGTCCTCCACAGAATGGGAAGCATCATTAGGTGGAAACAGTGAAGTCTTTAGCGGCGTATTTACTGGAAGATGATCACTTCCCTCTCTCTCCCAAACTTAAATTTCACCTCACTTTTGAAGCCATTATATATGTTCATATAATCACACAGTATGGTTAGGATCCTCTTGTATTTATTAGGATTATATATGAAAATTATTCACAGTTTTCAACAAATATGAAACCTCTCAAATGAAGGACTCATGACAGTTCCACATCATGGGGAAAATAGGCAGATACAGTGTCAGTGGAATGGAGGTGTGTTTCACTGAGTCTTCTTAATGACTTCAACAGCAGTACGTCCTTCTCTCCAACTCCAAGATCAGCAGCAAACACTTGAGCCGGAGGCCTTTTTTTTGCCAGTTGTCACTAACTTGAGACCTTTTTGTGTTAACCAATTAATTGATACAATGAGACTGCTGTATTTGGTTGAGGATTTCTTGTTCCAACCAATGTTTTATTGTCCCCATCATCGTCATCTTTTCAGGAGCGTATTCCATGCTCATCACAATGATGTGCACGTCGCAATATGGACCATCCAAATCAATTTTAAATGGTTCAAATTGAATTTAAATTTTTATATATGTTAATTAACTTTTTGTTTTAATAAATATAGAATTTAAAATAAATATAATATCATAACTAATGTATCTTTAAAAAATAAATTTACTATTGAAAAAATTATACATTAAAAATTTTAAATATAAACCATCCATATTAGATTCTGAATGGTTTAAATTGCATCATGCTTGTCATTATGATAAGTATTGAATGAAGACCTCATCTTTTCTAGTTTTCTTTGCTTGTTCTTATTAGTCTAGAGATTTTTATGTGATTCCTTTCTTTTTAATGTCTTGTGAATACAATTCTATTTGAAAAACTAGTCAATTCCGGTACATCCAACCCATTGGTAGTGTGATTTCTTTTTTCATATACCCATAAGATAGAATGGTTAATAAATAAACTAAACTTATAATTAATGTTTTAGTATTTGATAGGTGAGAGAAATTTGTTAACATATTCTACAAAAATAATGCTTTTAATATTATCTATTTATTCCCATTATCAATATCAGGACAAAAAAAAAATCTGAAGCCTGTCAGATTGTTTTTTAAAGAAAAAGTGGGGATCGATAGGGGAAAAAAACGGAGATACGCATCCGGGGAAAAAAAGGAACGTGAAGCCCATGATCACTAAAGTTCCGTTGAAGTCTCCATTCATCAATATCCAACTTTTACCTAGGGCTGAGCAATGGGCGGGGTGGGCTAATCCGAAGGTTAGCCCATAGCCCGCCCATTTATTCATAAATGGGCATGGGCTAACCCATAACCCGGTAGTAGCCCATTTAGCCCGTATTAAATGGGCTACGGGGCAGCCCGTTTGGGCTGACCGGGTTACGGGGTAACCCATTTATTTTTTTTATATTTTTTTTCAGTATAGTTATTTTGTATATGTAACCTTATGAAGCTGTCAATAAATTTACATGCCAAATAGCAAATCAAATATGAAATAACATCAACCATATTCAATCACACAACTCACTTAGATTCGCAAACAATTAAAGTCTGATAAAATCATAAAAGTAGTCACTAATCATAAAGTCTCATAAACTTTGAAAATTCCAACTTTTACCTAAAGGATAAAATAAAAGCTTAGACAAGCATGAATTTTGATAAAAGATGAATGAGAAACAATATCATCAATTAAATGAAGAATAAAAATATTTTTAAAAACTTAAAACTTAAACGGGCGGGTATGGGCAGCCCAATACCTTGCCCATAGCCCAACCCGTTTAATGGGCTACCCCGCCCATTTAAGCCCGCCCGTTTATAATATCTTATTTGGACTAATTGGGCGGGTTTAAATGGACAAAAATTTCATGGGTCATGGCCGGGCTAGCGGGTAATGGGTTTGTTGCTCACCCCTACTTTTACCTCGTAAATCAATCCCGACCCTTGTCTGTTAGATATTACTCCTCAGACTTTGAAAGCAGCAGAGGGCAAAAACAAAAAACTTTGAAAACGCCAGCATCCCTTCATAAGTCATGAGTCCATTTAGAATAACTTATAATTAACTTTTTAATTATGATTTACAGAATATAAAATGAGTACGTGAAAGAAACTTTATCTCAACTCACACAAACACGTACTTCTAATTGTTTTTGAACCCTATCCCAAGCTGGCTTCATAACCGCACGCCACATGGTGGGCCGATAGTTTGTTTTGCTTAGGTGAAAAAATAAAAGAAAATTACAATAAAATATAAAAAAAAAGTAATTATCAATAAATTTAATAATAAGTGAACAACAGTTATTTATTATCTTAAAACTTGTAATTACAAAATAACAATTTCCCCAAAAATAAATTGCTGATGGGAAAGTGCAAAGAAAAAAACCGCTTAGGTTGCACACATTTATTTCTCACAATACTCATATCTCCATCATCCTAAGAATGTAGCATTTTAAATTCATTATCAGAATTAATATTCCCAAGGTTTGCCCATCAGCATTTCAGATTAGCATCTATAGGTCCATCCATATTACTGGTTTGTCCGACGGGAAGAAGTTTTATTTTTCTGGCTCTAAAGTCTAAAGTTGAGATATAGCATATTTTATCATTATCTAATTATTTTATTACACAAATGAAATGATAAATAAAATTAAATTAATTTTTTTAAAAAACCGATAACCTTGTTAAAATAAATAAATAATTTTAAAAAAATTAAATAATATTTGTAAAAATACAATTGATATTAAAAAAATCAATATCTTTCTGCCAAAGGTATTTGTAAAATCAGTATCTCCATTTTTTAATATAACACCTAATTTAATTTTTAATTTGATTTAAAATGTGATATCCTAATCTACTTTGCTTCTCATATTTATTTGTTTTTTTTAAATAGTTCTTATAATAATTGTACATGTTAAATTTTTTATCAAATTACACTTTGTAGTAAGAGTGTTTTAGTAAAAATAATAACTATTACTTACAGATAACTTATTTAATTAATTATCTTAATATACTTAAATTAATCAACTAATTTTTATACAAGTATGAGTATGTTACAGGAATAGGATCGCGGTTGTTATCTTTTTTTAATTTTGGATTGCAATTTACTAGAAACGTCGTCGTTGCAATTTCTTTGTACCCGAAGAAAAATTTGCCACCACCATCCACACCGCGAACTATCGTCAGCTCCATTAGCGTTCTCGGACAATAAAACAAGGAGCTCTTGCAATTTGCCTTCCCCGTATGTAACTGCAGAAGCTCGAACGCAAACCTTTAAAATAATGGCTCTGCCACTTACATGGCGGGCTTAGCCCTAGACTCCCCAATTTCATTTCCACATACATATATCTCGAACCTAGATCTACCTCTGGTTGATTCCCTTTCCGTCTCTGTACCGCCGATCCGATCTGATTCCAATCCGATCCAATAGGATCCGGTCCTCGGGATCCATACGAAGCATTTACCAATGGCAGGGGCAGCCTCTGCTCTCTTCCTTCTTGACATCAAAGGCCGCGTTCTCATTTGGCGCGACTACCGGGGCGATGTCTCTGCCGTCGAGGCCGAGCGCTTCTTCACCAAGCTCATCGAGAAAGAGGTTCGCTCCTGTGTTCCAATAGATCGATGCCTTTTGAGTTTCTAGTGCACTGCTTGTTTCTGCAGAAACTATAGGAAACGAAGTGAAAACATAATGTATAGGTGCATTTTTCGTTTGCATTGGATAAATTTAACTTAGCATAGGTGACGCTCGATCTCTGTTTAGCTCTTTCTCAATGTTGTTTGGAAAAATTTTAGATTTAAGTTGTTCAACGGCGCTGGTGAATTTTGAATCACTGGAGGCGGAATTGTAGAATATGTAAATTTGTTCTGAATTTTCCTTTACTCGCCGTGCTATGGACTTCTATGGCTTTCTATATCATGGGAAAACTAAGTTCAGCTGCCTTTGGCGTTTTGTAATGCTTCAGGGAGATCCGCAATCTCAAGATCCAGTTGTATATGATAATGGTGTGACCTACATGTTTATACAGCATAGCAATGTCTACCTCATGATAGCAGCCAGGCAAAACTGCAATGCCGCTAGCCTTCTTTTCTTCCTACATCGTATAGTTGATGTGAGTATTATCGGTAATTATGGTTCTAAAAGTATCCAGATTTGAGAATTTACACAAACGACTACTATGATGCCCTCAAATTATCCTGTTCTTCACGGCAGGTGTTTAAGCACTATTTTGAAGAATTGGAAGAGGAATCACTTAGGGATAACTTTGTTGTTGTGGTAAAATGCCTTGGAACCTTCTAATAGTTCTATTAATTAATTACATTGATACAGTTAGTTCTATCCTTTACTCAAAAGCAAATGAACAATCACCCTTAATTTTTCTTATTGGCAGTATGAACTCCTTGACGAAATTATGGACTTTGGCTACCCTCAGTATACCGAGGCAAAGATTCTAAGTGAATTTATCAAGACCGATGCTTATAGAATGGAAGTTACACAGAGACCTCCTATGGCTGTAACTAATGCTGTGTCTTGGCGTAGTGAAGGCATAAATTACAAGAAAAATGAGGTGTCTATTATTTTCTTTTTGCAAGAATTCCCATTTTGATCGGTAATATGATGGTCTTGCACACCAGTTGACATCTTCCCTTTTACATTTTCAGGTTTTCTTGGATGTGGTCGAGAGTGTTAACATACTTGTCAATAGCAATGGGCAAATAATTAGGTCTGATGTTGTTGGAGCGCTGAAGATGAGAACATATTTGAGGTTTGTTTTCTACTTCTGATAACTGAGTTTCAAGCCCTTGAGATGAGCTGTTAGCAAACTAGGTTAGCTATTGGCTTTATAGGTTGATGATTTCCTTAGCTTCATGGCCAAAGAAGAATTTATAGAGGGAGAAGGATGATGAGGAATTGTAGGATTAGGAATCCTTTTAAGAACAAAATAAACAAAAGGGAAAAGGAAAATAAAAGGCAGCAGCTCAGTAGAGATTTCAAATTTCTAGTCATGAGAAAATGCCTTAACTGTGAGTATGTAAGTCCATGTAGAAGGAAGGAAACTACCCTGTTCCAAAGAAGGTTCACAGTTAGAAACCCCTGGCTGAAATTTGAGAAAATGCCTTAACAAGCGGAGAAGAAAATCTCTAGAGTGGGACACTATAACTGCTTGGCAACCCTACAATGCAACGATAGTTAGCAGTAACTAGACACCCCCCCTCCCCAAAAAAATGAAAGAAAGAAAGAAAGGGAAGGAAAGAAAAGAAGATGTAACATATAACTCAATTACTTGGTGACAAAGCACCGTGCGTTCAATGAAATGCATTTGCTGCAAATCGTTATTATTGCTAATAAATAAATTACTGTCCATACAGATAACTTTTAATCTAAAAGGTTTGGTTAACCTTCCTACAAAAGTTCAAACTGCTGGAATGTGTGGAATATTCTCCACAGATGATAGGTTTTATGGTGCAATTTTTCTGCTAGTCACTACTGAAAGTTCGATATTTACTTTTTAGAGTGGATTGGACTTGATTTCGTTTTTTCTGATAGAATGTTTACGGGGAGAATGTTCATAAATTATGTTACATGCTTTGGCAGAATTAAAGCAATGTTTCTTTTTATGCAAATTTTATCTGTGATTCTTCTGGATGTTGTGCCCTGGTAGCATGGTGTTTGTTTCTTCAAATTGATTGCTTCACCTAATCATGTTGGTTTTCCTAGTCAGCACAAGTTGCTGATCTCTCTCTCTCTCTCTCTTCCTGCTTTACGCTTTTATCGCTATGTTGACCTTGAGTAGTTTCTATTGTGTCCAATGTAGTTTTTTAATTTTTTTCTTAAAAGTGTCCAAAATAATTTTGAGGGACGAAATTGCAAGTGGCAGTTTGGAGCATATTATGCTTACAGATTGTTAATATACTGCAGACGTGCCCAATCTTTGGGGTTCATTTGGCTCTCAACAGTTATAATCGGGAATGATCTGGATATGTGTACTGTGATAGTTCTGTTAATCTACCCTACATTTTGCAAGGGAGTGTTTTTGTAGAAACTCAAACATGACGTCTTTGGCTTATCTATTGCAGTGGCATGCCCGAGTGTAAACTTGGCCTAAATGATAGAGTATTATTAGAGGCACAAGGAAGGGCGACCAAGGGAAAGGCAATTGACTTGGAAGACATTAAATTTCATCAGTATGTACCCTTGAGTCTCTTGTATATGAGAAGCTGTCTGTGTGGATTATTTGTAACACAAAATATTAATATTCTTTCTGCAATAAAATATCTCTAGTATTAATGCTTGTTCTGAAAAATGTGTTGGCATTTTGATTAAGGTGTGTTCGCTTGGCCCGATTTGAAAATGATCGAACAATTTCCTTCATACCACCAGATGGATCATTTGATTTGATGACATATAGGCTCAGTACACAGGTTCCTCTTCTGTAAATGAAATATATTCTTTTCCATTCGAGGGGTAATATTTGTTTGCACATAGACATGCATGTGTGTCTTGGTTTTTTTTTTTTTGGGGGGGGGGGGGAATGGCCTAACAGAGAGAAAATGAATCTTAAGACTTAATGTTACTTTTTATCCCCTTGTTTCAGGTTAAGCCTTTGATTTGGGTGGAAGCTCAGGTTGAAAGGCATTCGAAAAGCCGGATTGAGATTATGGTAAAAGCTAGGAGTCAATTCAAGGAACGTAGGTACTGAGATTTCATTTTTCCCTGTTCCCTTCTTGTCCTGTTCTTTTAGGTAGATTGTAGAATTGCCCCTGTTCAATATATGTACTGACAGCTTCTGGCTCTAGATTTGAGATTAGCCTAAATTTTTTAATTTGTGGAATTTGATTATACAGCACTGCCACAAACGTTGAGATTGAGTTGCCTGTACCTGCTGATTCAACCAATCCAAATGTTGCATCTGCATCATATGCCCCTGAAAAGGATGCATTGATCTGGAAAATAAGATCCTTTCCCGGAGGCAAGGTATATGTTGACTTGGAGTGGCATTTTACCCTTTATTTAAAATCTAATATCAATACCTCGATTTGATTGCTAATCATTGGGTTTAAAATTTTTATCTTTAATGCTTTCAGGAGTACATGTTAAGGGCAGAGTTTCGTCTTCCCAGCATAACAGCTGAGGAAGCAACTCCTGAGAGAAAAGCTCCTATTCGTGTGAAATTTGAGATACCATATTTTACTGTTTCTGGGATACAGGTATTTATACTTGGACATGAATTTTCTTACATTCATAATACTGCTAGGCCTTTTTTTTTTTATACTGCAAATAGTGTCTGCATCCTTCAGTGCATCCCTATGTTGAGTGATCACATTTTGATTCCAATATTTCATCCGTGCTAGAATGTTGTGCTGCAGCAACTCGTCCTTGCTCCCTGCACCCTGTTTTCCTTGCTTAGCTTCCTCATGCGGCCAAAAAACTCAACAAGTGCACAAACTTGGTCCAAAACTTCTATCCCAACCGCAAATTAATGAAACCTTTCCCTATCTACCAATTTTTAAATTTTCTCTTTTTAATCTGCTTAAATGATTCAGAGAACTCTGACGACTCCCTTGCTGTGAAATATACATCAATTAAAGGAGCAATCCCGTTGAAATTCATAGACAGTCAATTAGAGAACTTTCTATTTTCATCATCTTCTGCCTCGTTATTACTTGCCTAATGGTTTGTGGTGTCAGAAACTATTCCCAACTATCGTTATGATCACTGTGGTCTGCAGACTTGAGTGAAGTAGTGAACTATAAATCTGTGATTGTTCGGTTGGTTTCTCACAGTTGGGACGAGGCTATCTAAACTAAACATAATGTGATATGTTGCTGTTATTTGGGGAATCGCTCATGACTTATGTAGTGATTACAACTGAAACGTTGACCGGCTTGATCAATATAGTGATAATGTTTAAATACTTGCAGGTAAGATACCTGAAGATAATTGAGAAAAGTGGGTATCAGGCCCTTCCATGGGTGAGATACATTACAATGGCTGGAGAGTACGAACTGAGACTTATTTGAGATCTTTTATCCTGGCTGTTTATTTTGAAACCCACCAAATAATCATGCCATATTTCTATGACCAATGACTTGGGAGTGGTGGATGAGGAGAGGGAATCACCAGAAATTGTCCGAGGCCCGGCTGAAATGATGAATTTATTTGAGCCACCATCGCCCTCCCTCCCTCTCTCTCTCTCTCTCTGTCTCTCTGCATGGTAATTTGTGTCTTGCCAGCATTTTGTAAGTTACTTTAGCTGTCTAGAAGGTCCATGTCAAATGATGAATTCACAATTTGTTAGCCAAAACTCCTGAGTCCTTTTGGCCATATCTGTACTGGATGATGAGAGAATGCTTTCCCCCTTTTCGTTTTTGTATTCAGAGTTTGCTCATCTTTTTCTATTGCCCTCATAATGTAATTTGATTTCCACCTGTAAGAATTTTTTGCTTTTGTATTAACAAGATTGATATCTGCAACTTTATTAAAGCTCCAATGATCTCTAGAAACGAAGTATTCCAAGCGTAAGATTTCGGATTCAAGTTCTGTGGCCCCACCAATGATAATACCCATTCACTCCTAAATGTTAAGTTGGTTTTATTCTTAAATGTAAAGTTTTAATCTACTTTATTTTTATAAGTATCAATTTTTTTCAAGCTAATTGTTTAACTTATAAATTGTTATATAATCAAATATTACATGGTGCTTCCTTTGCTTATTAACATAAATATTTATCTTTTTTAAAAAAAAAAATTGTTTATTGTTGTTGTTTACATGTTATAATGTTCTATCTAATATACATGATTAACAAAAATATTATATAAAAAATAATATCTATTTATTAGAAATAACTAACTAAATAAATTTTTTGATCTATTTAAATTAGTTATTTTTTATTAAAGAGTAAGGCAATAACATTTCAAGAAAATCATAAAAATTTTGTTATAACTAATTTATTTAGTTTTTTAAACTCTTTAGATAAGTGGTTATTATATTAAGATAGGAGAAGTAGTAAAATTTAAAATCTCAATACAGCCTATGTGCTAGTGATCCAGACCATTCGAGATTCCCGCATCAATAAAACTGGCAGGCAGTTATCGCTGTCAAGATAAGGCGTCCAAGAATGACCACTCTGTTGATTAACGGTTGTTACTCAATGCAGAATACAAGTAATAGTGCAATATGCAGAAATACAAATTTCCCAAGGACTCGACACATCCGCTATTAACAAGTGTTTGATATCTTCTCACAAAGTTATCAATTAAAGAACTTGGGCGGCGGCAGAAGGGGGAAAAGAATAAAAAGAAAACTCATATTTACAAAGGTGAAGAGGGTACCATGAAGGGCTGAAGGCAAAGAATGGCCTTTTTCTTTCATATTTCTCTTGTAATTTGTTTAATAACAGTACATACGCTATACTAATGATGAATTCCATTAGGTAATGTTGGAAGCTTCTTCCTGAAAGCGTGCTTTCGGCAACGTCCAAAAATGTCATCATATATCAAATCAAACTGCACTCCAGCCCTCTCCCGATTAATAATGAATAGAATGTGATCACCTTCCACATACTTGTAGTACCTGTTTCATCAAATATAATGATCCATTCAGTTCCACCGATATGAAAATTTGCACGGCTAGAAAGTGGTCGGTAACAAAATTTGCCTTTGATAAGTTCAAAACATATTCAGAAGGAATCTATATATCTCTAAGAATTTGCACATTTCATTACGGTAAATTATTGTTCCTTAAGTCTTGTTAGTCAACACCATTCATAAGAGGGCAGCGTATCACATACCAGATGCCTGGCTGCAAGGGTTCGCAATCTGAATCCTTTTCAACAAAACGGTTTGGGTGTTCAATTGGGAAACGAGGATGGGTCATGGATATTGTGTTTAAGGCTCCATCGTTGTCCTGCCAGTCCTCATCCCTGCAATGCCAATTTGGAAGTTGTTGATTGGTCAAGCTTAACTCAAGTTACAACCCGAAGCTGCTCAAGGGAAAGGCCAGAGGGAGACAATGTCTAATGCTTCAATAAAATGAAAAAACCATACCTGTAACCTTTGTAAGGGGGAGAAACGTCGGAAGGATGTCGCCATTGGGTCATCTGCAAAACTCTTATAAAAAGCAATGGGTGAATTCCAGTAATGCTTGAAGGAAGTGTGACACCTAGGATTTTCCTAGTGCGCTTGGTAGCATAGCTGAAGTAGTAAGTATTTGGAAAAGTGTGTAGATGGTAGTTGAGTTTTATAGATCCTTGAATTGTAAGATCAGGGAGGATCCAATCCCCTGAAGCAAATGGACCGGCATGCCCCAGGAGGCAATCGACAAGCCCCGAAATGCCCATCTTCCTCCATGACATGTTGAAGTGATCAAACCCGAAATTGTAGTAGGTCTTTAGCATGGAAATGTCCAGCCAATCATAAATTATTGCTCCGATACGGCAAATTTGCAGCAGACAATAGGTTTCAATGTTTTCCAATCTTCTGGCCTAAAACAAACTCAAGTTGAAGATCACCAGTTTCAGCAATCACAGTTTGTTCACAAGTGAAACTCAATTCTCAAGATTAGCAGAAGTGCAGAAACAATGAAAACATTCATGACATTCAATTGAAGCAAGCAAGTATATGGTCTTTTTGAATGCAGATTCCATTATTGAGACATCAGATCACAGTTGCCAGTTTGCTCAGAATGGCAGCATGAGCATTAACTCATAAGTACCGAAGGAATATACTAGTTCCAATTTATTACCTAAACCCAATCACCCCATATCTAGTGAATAAGATAACATCAGTAATAGATTGCTCTGTATAATATCACTCCCTCAATGTCAACGGTAAGCTATAATTTATGCATCAGATTAAGCATGACTACGATTTTCCCATACACGACATGAATTACAAGGTGAGGAACCTCCGAGTTGGATAAATTAGTCTACAGATGGGAACTTACTGCATGCCGTCAAAGTAGGTTCTTGTAGTGCCATTAAATGCTCCTGATAAGGCCGTTATGCTCAAAACCCAGCTCTCTGAAGTGTCTTCATACCCCTTAAATGCCTGGAGACAACATGCCAAATAATCTTCAACAAATCATTTTCCACATTAGACCATCAGCATGACAGTGCAAATTTGGGACTGACCTTATCAGCAAGCATTTGTTGCAAAACACGAGCAACCTGTGCTCCAGCTGAGTGACCAACAAAGTGAATGGGATGATCCTCGTCCCACTCAGGATAGTGGCCTGCATCCAAATTGTCAGGACATTTTTTTTTCATTCAACGGGAAAAAATGGACTATAAGAGCATAATAGACTACAGAACAAGCAGATCCTCGAACCTTGTTCGTAGATGCGTCCAAACTGCGAGTGTCCATAAGCAATGCTGTGCTCTTCGCCGTAATCGACTTGCCCACCTTTTAGATAATAGAACAATTCGCGAGCCCTGAGACAAAATACTTTCAGAACTTTCCCGAACAAGCACAAAATCAAAAGCAACCCAACCTAAAAGGAAAATCCATTAACAAAACCCAGAAAAATAATGGAAGTTTCGACGCCTCAATCAATCACCTATCATGGATACTGGTTAAGATCCCAAATCAGGGACGAGAACCCTTTCATCTTTCTTCTCTGCACCGGCGAAATACGATAAACTACCCAATCTCTGCGAATTGAAAACGGAATGAGATTCATCTAATTGGAGAAAAGAAGTTCATCACAGAAACGAACGGAAACAGGCGTTTACTTACCCCTTTGCCAAACCCGAAAATTCCATGTAGTAACACAATAGGAGGCAGGTCATCGTTTTTATCTTTTCGCATTTCGTCCTTGACCTCGATATTCTCCTTAGACTTGTAAAAGTAATCACTAAGAGCTTGCGAGAGATCTCCAGCAACACCCGTGCTGAAAATGTAAAATCCATAAAGCAAATGGATGATAGAGCTCACAAACAGCTCCACCAATTGCAGATAAGCTAACCATAATCTGATCATTTTGCAGAATCAACCCCCAAATGAAGAACAACGAAGAAGTTTCCAAACAAGAGAGCCTTCTTTGAACCCAGAAGACAAAAGAACCACGAAGAAGGCTCCTTGTTGCCGAAGGTAAGAAACGCTTCAAATCCTTCAGGGGCTCAGGCTAATAGATTACCCCTTTTGTGTTGTCGAAGCTTGAATGTTACCATGTAGAGTAAAGCAATAAGGAAATCTCACGCGGGTCGGAAACAGATTTCATATAGTCGTTTCACGCCTCAAAATTCAAACTTTGAAAAATGGTTATTTTGCACATTTTTATTGTTCTCCTGCCACATGGAAAGCAGACCACCAATCAAAATTCCATCGAGAAAGCAATAAACTTTTCTGAATTTAATAAGAGAAAAAAAAATGCGTGGAGAAAAGAAAATGCTCGCTTGGGTTAACGATGCGTGTCCAATCATTGCCCCTGAGACAATCGGGATGGTTGTAGGCACCACAGAGCTGAAGAAAACAACATCCAGAATAATTTTCCAGATAATCGCCTCCGAATCAGCGACGAGACAAATAAGACCGATTCAGATACGAATACGATTCGAGAGGTTTCTTTATCGATGATGTAGACTTGTGGAGAGCAGAGACGTCAAGCCAACGCTCAACTGTGGTTTGTTAATTTGTTTACAATTTACAAACGAATTCTGAATAAAAATTAGTTGTTTCCTTAATTCTTCTTGTAAGCCAAATACTACCTCCGATCCTAATTATAAAAGCTAATTGATTAATTTAAAAAAATTAAAGAAATAAGTTGAGTTAGTTATTTGTCCTAAATAGGTGTTGTCTTTTCTAAAATATCCTTGCTAGTCAAGTGTATTGACTAGAACTATTATTATTAGAAGGGTTACTTTGAAAAAAAATCTATAAATATGAGAGACAAAGTGAATTGGAATCTTATATTTAAGATCAAAATAAAAATCAAACAAGATTTTATATTAAGGATCGGAGATAGTAATACGCAATAATTAAAAAGTCTCAGATTATTACTATTATTTTTTCCTTATCTTAATTTGGGTAACTAACTCTCAAGTTTAAAACCTGAAAGTGTGTGTGTCTATATATTTGTACTCCTCCGGTCCTTATTATAAGACCCAATTTGACTTTTTATTTGGTCCTAATTATAAGACCCAATCTATTTTCTCTCTTATATTTATATATTTTTTCCAAGATAATCCTTCTAATAATGATAGTTTTAACCAATATACTTAATTAGCAAGGATATTTTAGGAATAACAACACTTATTTATTATAAATAACCAATTTAATTTACTTCCTTAATCTCCTCAAATAAGTTAATTGGGTCTTATAATTAGGACCGGAGGAGTATATATTGATCATATGAGAGAGAGAGTATACGTTAACGGTAAGGGTTCAATGAATGTGATGTGGCGTGCCACAGGCAGATTCCGCGGCTGTTGGGTAAACAACAAAACTGTTCTAATAAAAATAGCTGGCCACTTTGTTTTTGGAAAGCGCT